GATATTCGCGAGGATTTTATAAGGGTTGGCCGAGTGAAACTCTGACGGGAAAAGCCTCGGTGCAGCATTCAAATTGGGTGTTGTAAGTTGCAATGGTATAGTGGTAGTCGTACTATAGCACAGACGTAACTTGACCGGACAATGGATCACTTTATCAAATAGATCGACTACAATGACGGCGGGCAGTGCTCAACTTCGATACTGACGAGATGAGTGAGATAGATGGTGAACTCTGCTCTCTTTCTTGAAACAACTTTACTCGAACTTCCTCAATTTCAGCCTCTTCGGTAAGTGCAATTTAGGACCTCTAGTCTATGATTTTTCGACCAAGTGATTTTTACCAAAGTTAAAGAATTTGCGTAGCTGCTCTCACGTTAATGATAAAAATATTTAATAGAAGTGCCTTGTTATGCTGCATAAAAAAACTTTACTTATCTTCCTTCAGACTGAAAACAACAAAGCACCAGCTCGTTACATTGCATATTCAATAAGTGGAAGATTGTTTACCCTAGAGCCACAGTCATGTGGAACTAAGACTCCCTTGCTCTTCGTTCATCCGTCTCACGCATTCTCGAACGAAGCATACCAGTGGCGAGGATCTCGTAGGCTCACTCCAAACCAAAGCACATCCACTTAAGCCCTTCACACCGAAGACTGGGATTCCGCTCGCGCGTATACACGTACACACACACACTTTATCAAGAAGAAGAGCGCGAATGCGTGTCCCGCTTCATCCACCCCGTCGTTATTCATTACTCGGAGAGCAAAAGCTCGCCTTCGCTTTCTCATCCTATGCACTCTCGTACCCGTTAAATCCCTTAGCCTACCTGCGGTAGTCTTCCCAACGTAGCCATTACTTCTACCTCTAATATCACGGAATGCCGGTAATCCTTGGCACTATGTGTGTGTAATGTTCACCTTTGAGAATGCAATTGTTACCACAAGACCAATGAGAAAAAATAGATTATAGTACTCGCTTATTTTGCTCCTTTTATTGACCCCAAACCAGTAGTGCCGAGTATTGTTTTTGATAACTTAACGTTAATTTCAACACTAACTACATAATTGTATTTCTTTGGATCGCTGAACGTGTGGAGAAGTCCCGGGCCCGAATAACAATGTCTAGCTCACGCTTCTCATACGCAAGCTAAGGGTATTATTCTATGGGCACTTGTCTCTCTTTTTTCAATGTTGGAAAAAAGTTTATTCATTTTCAAAGTCACCATACAATGCAAATGCACTTTCGTAACTTTTTACGCCGATTAAACTCAACTTTTTCATTCAAACGCATCAATATCATGTGGGTCAAGTGGTTTATTCATACGTTAGAAATCACGGAGTACAAGCCTGTGGGGCAAAAAAAGGCAGCTTCCAGCTGCCGTATAAGCGGTGAATTCCACTTATGCAAAGTTGAAGCGAATCCAAGCCCCTGTTTGACAAACACTTTGAAATTATATTTCCCAACGCCGAAGCTTTCAAATGCTCGACAGCAACGGCTCTCGTATACATTCTGATGAAAAAAAAATTTATATTGCAATTTGAATGTACATCAATCCGCACATCTCGAGCGCTCAGTTTAATACAATTTTTAATAAATACGCGATACCCATCCCTTCCTTCCTCTCTCTCGTATGCATATAAAATTTTGCGTTTTTTCTTTGAAAGCAGAAGCACTGCGTTTACACCAGTTGGTTACTTTGCAAAGTTATATGAATCTCCTTATCGGGCTTTCATATTCTTTTATATTAATATACCTACGCGTTTAATCAAAACTTTCGGTGGGATAAGGGGCTAAGGGAAACATGAAACTTGTTTTTAACCTTTTGACGGGCTATACAAGAGAAAAACAAAAAGGGGACGACAGAAGCTCTCAGTCATTTTTTTCCATGATCGACTGGTTTCGTAACGCGAGATCGCTCTCTAAAGACCACACAACTCTGATCCCCAACAGCACAAAGTTCATTGGGCCTCTGTGGATACCTGGTGGTAAAATAGCAGTGACGGAGGCCTGTTAGAGTTGTAATCTACTTGAGTGAGCATTCGACCGTTAATATACAGCGAGAGTCATCGTACTCTTCTTCCTGTGTGATTCTAAGGGAGAGGGAGAGAGCATCTGTTGCGCGAGTGTCCCTTCCATGAGTCTTGCGAACTGACGGCGAAGCCACTTTGCAACTTGTCGCCCAAACCACTAGCTCTATCCAACTGCCAAAGAGAGCCAGGAGGCGGGATTGGGATCGCGCGAGTACTCCCGCAGGTGAAGCTTGCAGTCGATACTTGGCACGTTCTCTTTACCTTATGTCTCTCGTTTGTACATCTGAATTGCGGTCGTGTCTCTCGTTACAGCAAGCGTGGAGTCGTAAGAATACGGGCTGATCCAACCGCGGAACTCTCGATAAACTCTTTTGACCTCGTCTCATCTTCCGTCCTTGGAATTTTTAAACTAATTGACAGCCCCATGGCGTTCTGAGCCTGAATTAGCTAGTCACGCATAATTAATGTTCGTAATTGCTTCGAATACTACAGTTGGCCTCGGAAAGATGTCACGAGTTTCGGAAATCGAATCAGCTCTAGCGTTGATCCCAACACCAAACTTGTCGTAATGAAATGAAGTACACACAGTAATTTGACTGGAACATACTCTTGATAGAGGTTACTGTCACAATTGACCGCATTTTTATTCGGTGGTGTTATATTTATAGTCATTTCTGATCTTTTGTTTATGGCTATTCTCAGAGAAGTTTAAACTCAATTGTTGAATTTATTTGCCAGTATTTGCATTTCAACCTTATAACCTGACCTAAATTAGTTACTTAATTAACCTGTCCAAGCACTTTATTTTTTAAATTTAAAACATAACAACTCGTGGACTACTGACTCTCTTTCGATCAGTAATCACTTTATTTCATTTGTCGAAAATAACATCAACAACATTAATGTACTCAAAGGCTCCGTTGCCCATTTGCTATTTTCATCCAAACGTTCATCCAAGGGATGATGAATGGTACCCCTCTACGGGACAAAAACAAATTCTAAATCTGTCGAGAGTCATACATCTTTCGCGAGCTTTTTTCCTCCCCAGAAAGAGTTGTCGAAAAAAAATTTTTTTATTGACTAATGAATCAAGTCTGTCCCCCTTCTTCTGCAAACACTTTGCTCGCCAAGCTTATCTGGCTTGCAAAAACATGCAGCGTAAGCTCTCCCTCTCCAACTCTCACCTTCGAGGACATCCAAGTAAGTGCAAGGATGCGCTAGGAAATGCAAAGAGCAGCACTTTCGTAGATTCTCAGCATCTCCTTTTTAATCCTCGACGACGAGAAAAGTGAATTTCTTCAACTTCCAACGTGTCGAGTGCTTATTATTCCCAGTCTTCCGTTTTCCGATTCGACTGTTTTTCCCCATACTCAATTCTATAAATCACGATAAAACGTCAGAACTTAAAATCCCAACAACCGTATCCAAGATAAGACCACACTAGAACAAAATTATCCTCCTGTACCCATAATTTTAATAAAACCGAACGAGTTACCGAGTAACGTACCATGTAATAGGACCATGTAATACGACATCCCTGAAGTACATGGCGCACACGAATTTTCTTCGGCAGCATCCCTCGTTTTCATGATAGCAAAGCGGAGCATCCAAAAGCGGCAATAGCATAACCCTTATATAGCACGCGACTTATCGAGCCGAACAGGCCAGCTAATACTCAGGGTAAACGACTCCAACTCTCCTTTCAAAAAATCGGCCTTACCCCTCCTCACGTGCCCTCTATCATAAATATAGACCCTCGCACGCGCAAGCACGCGTGCATGCACTCAAGAAAGAAAACCAGCGAGCCGTGCTCGGGATCGAGAGAGCTGTATCATCTTCTTTTCGCTCCAAAAGCTAGACTCCATTCGCCGAAGTACTATAGGATAGCTTTGACGTCTGTACGCATACCCGAACGTATGCACTGGTCGCGTAAACGAGATAGGCATCAGCAGTAGGAAAACCGTGTGTGGGCAGGCGAAATCTTCCGGGACGCGCAACTGCAAAGGCTGAAGTTGCAGACACCCGAAAGAAGATGGGAGTAGGAGGGGCTCCGCTCTTTTTGAGCTCAGTTTTTATGGAGCAAAGCGAAATATCCGGTGAGTGGATATGGGCAACGGAACCTCGGTTTCCCCAAAATAAAACGCGCCCTTGATAAAGCCGCAAAGGGACGAAGAGGCTTATCTTGGATGATGCACCGTTGATACTCTTGCTTCGGCTCTACGCTGATTGCTCCCAACGAAGAATTTTTTTTCACCCACGTTTTTGGAATCCTCTTTCCATGCATGTGTAAGCATAGTAACGATTGATCGATTTGTATGCTCTTCAATGCACGACGCTATCTTTCTTTGTCTTGTTGTTTTCGTTCGTGGACACACAAAATTACAGATTGTTGAGCGAAATAACGAATGTTGCGCGAAAAGAAAAAAAAATTCTTTCTTAGGACAATAAATTGAAGAAATTTGAGTTGTACCCATGTAGCCCGACCACCCATCTAAAGGAATCGAAATACGCAAGGTAAATTGCGAAGACCTAAGTTTTGCACGAGCAAGCTCCCCCCACTTTACTGTAAAGTAATAAAAGCGAAATAATCTCCTAAAATACAATAGTCGGCAGATAAGTGCACTTTGCCTATCTTTGGTGCTGGTTGTTCGGGAAACAGACAACTATCCTCTAATAAATGCAAACGGACTGCCACTGCTATTACAACTACTGTAGAAAAGGAGTTCAATAGATGCCTTTTGTTTTGAATAAACTGGAAAATGAAGACATTGTTGTACCCAGCTCCGCTTTCCTCGGTCCTTTGCAAGACGTGTAAAGAGAAAGCTGAGAGGAGAAAAGGAAAACACTGTAAAAGTGGAGATTGTGCACAAAACACGGGGTGTAGCGCAGCTTCTGTACGCATTTGGTACGCTCGAACAAAAGGTCGTGAGGTGAGCAGCGTAAAACGTTTAAAAGAATATAGTACTCACCAACGACATCGAGATATCCAAGCGTACTCTTCATTGGATCGGTATTGATCTGGCACATGTACCAGCCGCGATCGGTTTCCTTTACCTCCTTTATATGAAGGAACCAGGTGCGGTGCTCGCTATGGGTCACCCCGATCCGGTGGTTCTTCGTTATCACGTGACTAGCTATCGTCAGGATCGTTTGCGTGTCGACGCGCAGCCAGGCTACCTGCAAGCATGAGCCGAAAAATTGATCGTTATTGCTACCACGCAGAGGATCTTACGTTATAATAGTTCTAGTGTAGTTGTAGTTGGTTTTTCCTATCTTTTTCTCTCCTCTTCCCCTTTACTGGCATCTGTTGTTAAATTTACTCTGACGCGTATTTTTTTTTTTGATTTGTGCTTGCATGGATCTTTTATGATGATACCTATAAATTCGCTTTACGAGTTTGTCTTATATCTATATACCTACGTATAGGTATATACATACATCTACTATATATATATTTGTATGTACAACTACTGGTTTAATCATAAAATCGATGATCAGCAGTAGATATTTTATTTCGCTGAGTTTATACGCCGTAAGATGTGTTCAAATGAACTCTTGTTTTTAAATGAACTTTGAATTTTTTGTGAATCTAAGCTATAGTTGTACGATTAAATAACAGTTTTACACACTAAATAGACAAAAACTGAAAAAAACTAGTGGTTGGAAAGACAGAAAAAGAAGTTTTGAAAAATAATTAGTATCCTCAAACTTATGAAATAAACGTATAGATAATAAGCGTCCTGTAACGCCTCTTTATTACCTCCCTCTCTCATGTACACACTCTTCTTATCTCCATCTTTTTTTTCCTTTTTCTCCAAATCTGTATATACCATTATAGGAGCAGCAAGTGCGCAAATGGATTGTTTTACTCGCTAGTTGTACATTATTCTTCCACTTCTTTCAAGAGACACGATTACAAAGGTGACTCAGCCACCTCAAATTTGTACATGAATGAAGGGAAAAAAATTTACGCCACAATCAAAGCCACTGCAGACACAGTTATAGGATTATAGAACGGATAAACAAAAAATTTCAAGTACAGCTACTGAGATAAAAAGGAAAAAAATAAAAGTAAGGAGAAATGGATAAAATGAGATAGGGCATGAAAAGATGCGGATAATATCGGAACAGGTCGATTGGGGCGGGGGGCTCGTTTCAAGTTGAAGTACTCGGTAAATTGAGCTGTCTGCGGAGCATCGTACATTGTATTCGGGAAAATATCCGTTCGAAAGCGTCGTTGCTTCGAGTATTCTATGATTTGTATGCTGGAAACGATTTTTTTTGTTACAGTACGTTGAACCGTATTAAATTGATACAATTTCAGTCGATAAATTTTGTGAGAGATACTTAAGGTAAAGAATATTGCATCTTATTAAATGATTCTATCTTTTTATTGGCTCAATATGTATAATAATAACCAATAAATTTTAAAAACCCAACTGCCTTTTTAACAAAAAACTTGTTTTTATGGAATTTTTTGGTTCATTGTCACAAAAAGTACAAGATAACACTGATTAAAGGCACTTGGTGCCATTTTTTACGAAATTTTAATTCCCAAAAGTCTAAATTCAGTAGTATACAAAAAGTTTTTTTATAAAACTACATTTTATTTTTATCCTCTTGTTAAATTTTTTATATCTCGTATGTTTCATAAAATCAACATATTCTGGTTATTCCAACGTCTTGACTAAACATGTGATTAAATTAAAACTTCCACTAACTCTTGTTCTTTATGTGTACCAAGTACCTAATTATTCAATATTGAACATGACTTAACTGCAACAAAATATGTGTAAAAGAACAGAAGAGAGTTTGGGGTAAGTTTTCTTGTTTAATTATTGAATATATTTTTGATAAGTTACAAATGTGAAAGTTAAATATAAAAACATAAAATTTCATCGAACGTTCAATAAACTTTATTTCAACTCTAATCAGAATAATCCTTCAATTACAATTGATGCCACTTAACAATCAAAACCAGTTCCCGGTTAGACAACAGGACCAATCAACTAACAATAGCAACAGCAGCGCTCGTTCCATCAAAGGCGAAAGTCGCGCTTGTCACTCAAACGAATTCACGCAGCAGTAGAGTTATATTTAATTATATCCCCACTTTCACCTCGTCCTCGAGGGGCCAAAAAGCTCCACGTACGAACGCAGCAATCTAAAATACAGCCCATTTCCATGTGCTTTGGTAACTAAACGCACCAGTCGTCTCTCGTCTGTATGCACAAAATCGCATGTGAAACACAAAGTCCACAGGCTGCGCCTGCTCTTGTATACTCCCACGAGAAGCGAACTCGGAAAATCCAAAATACAGTACCTAAATTTACCAAAGAGGCTCTCAGACTCACTGTACGCCTGTGATCGCGTGTACGCGACATACGACATGGCACCATAATGATAAAGCGTTTCACGTAGCTATATATGTATCAAGGCAAGTCTGCGTCAAAGAAGCACAAGGAGGCGCTCCTCTTCCATTTGACAAAATTGCCCTGTCAGCGTGACTGTAGCCCAACTTATTTCTGGGCGAATTCTCTATCACCAGTTGCCACCCCCACCCACACCCGTCCTTAGCCCGTTAACGTACGCGTGCATGATTTTCTTTAGAGGTTGAGAGTGAGAGAACAAAAGTATGTAGATCCTTTTCAGAAGCCGATCTTGTGATCCTTTTGAAAGACACAGAACGACCTTCCAGCAAAGACGAGCCTCCCCCCCCCCCAGACGCCAAAAAGAACTGCTTGCGCGTTGCAGACAGAAGTGAGTTTACGAAAGATGTTTTTTTAAATGAATGAAGATTGTTTTTTTATCCATCTGTTTCTCGGAAAACCGTATTAGCAATTTTTCGATGTTTTTGCCTGGTGTGCATCATTGTTTCAATTATAAAATCATCCAATGATAATAACAGCACATAAAAAAATATTCATATACATTATTAAAGATGTTTTATCACTCACCATGAAGTACCAACGTTGGTATGACTTTTTAATTGAAAATATTAGGAATAGTCTCGCGTTTCTTCTTGAGAGATTAATTAAAAATTTTAAAGACGTTTACATCAGGCCATCCATTATAACTCATCTTCATTCTCTCGACGTAAGGATAGCTCGTTTACTCAGCTAAAAATGGAAGATGAAGCGAAAGAAATAATAACTTACGAGTTCACTGAAACCATCGATAAAGATAATATTTCATGAATTTTAAAACCGTTTTTAAATGTCAGTACGTAAAAGCGCATTTATTAAAATAAGCATGTTTATGAACTTGGAAATGATTATTTTACGAATTTTTCAACACATTGAGATGAATTTTAATTTTACCAAACATATAGTACATTAGTTTTACTGGAAAAAACTAAGTCAAATGCTGGTTTAGAAAATGCGATGGAAAAAACGTTTTAAGGCACAAGCAGTACATCGTATATAAATTATAAACCACAAACAAAATAATACCTAAAATAATAGGATAGGACATACACAGGCGAAAAGTATAAGAGGCGAGGAAGATCCGTCGTTGGAGCGTCGCTCATCGCGCGACCGACGTAATTTATTATCCCGCGACCGAAGTTGGAACGTCCGCGCGGTACGAAAGTGGAAAATGGTTATTTGTCATCTACAACGCTATCGTAGTTATGACGTCATCGTTGGAAGAGAAAACGAGCAAATGAGAGGGCAGGGGAGGTGCAGTGGCGTGTGCCATTTCAAGAAATAAATGGAGTAATTAAAACGTCGGCGCACGCTGCGAGAGACTTCGCGCCACTGCGAGTACAGTCCGGCGTCTTTGCTCAAGAAGGCGCAGTAGGGGAGGGTAAGAGAGGTTGGGAGCCTGCACGACGATAAATCTTTATTTTAAAATAATTTAACGCCCGTCATATATTTGCACTTCGATGACAGCCAGGAGACCCGGGCACGTATTTGAAATACCCGCTCCACTGCAATCTCGGAGCTTTTTTTTCTCTCTTTCTTGCCCTCGCACGTGTACTGCTTTCATTAGTTTGTAAATGGCTTTGCCACCGATAGTAGTTTGAAATATTTAAATTCGTTTCGGCAATTGCAATTTCTATGGACGCATTTGTACGACTAAAAGCGCGAACTTTTGGTCAAATTAATTTCGTTGATTATAGTGCGTAATCACTTCAGTAATTGTGGAATACTTGTTAATTAGTTCGGAAATTTGCGTATGAAGCATCAAGCAGCATAAAATTGTTGTTCTATTACGATGTCGATCAAAGTCATCTTCTGAAAGTGGATTTAGATAAATTGAAATCAAGTACTTATTAAATAATTGTTTCATACTATTTTAAGGATGATTAGGTTCAAATCATCAAATGATCCGAAATAACAAAGTCTTAATGAGTTTAAAAACTGTAATTGTTCGACGTTTATCAAAATGATCGACCATTTCACAGGGAATTCCACGAAACGGTGTGTAATGAATTTAACTGATGTCAAGCTACCACTTCGCCAATACAAGACGAATTATACCAACTGGTAATTAAAAAAAAAAAAATCATGTTAGGATATAAAAATTCAGTCATCGGTCACCAACGTTAGAATCTATCCAAGAGTTTTACTCATCCCCAATGGTTCATTAAAATAAATTATCCTTCTCCCCAGATCTTTTGAAAGGCAAGCCGACCAATCCCACGTCCTCCTTTGCTCATTGAAACTCTTTGCCATGCAGTCTCCTGCGAAACTTCTTCCTCCACTGTGTCTATATACGTGTACATATATACCTAAAATACAGCACAGGAGAAGCAGCCAGTGTCCCCTCGAGCTAGCAGTTTCAGTATTTTCAGTTCTCATCATCTCGTTTCCCTCGTTGGCAGGATGACGAAGACGACGAATTGCTATCCAAAGTGCAGCGACATTCTCAGAAAAGACGATGACGGAGACGAGACTCAAACGCGTTTTCATCGGACTACTCTACTCCACTTCTGAGCAGTGCAATAATCTTGCGAGTACCCCTGGAGAGGCAGCCCTTGGGGCAACTTCAATATTCCTCCGCGGCGGAAAAGAGCGTATTCCTACTAATACAGAGACGTTGCAGCGTCGGTTCTTGTGTTTCTAGGTTTGCGTGTTACCTAGAGCTAATTACGCGCTAACTATTTTGTTAGTCCGTTCGAATTTCCCATCAGACTGGTAGCCGAGGATTTCTTTTTCTTATTACTCGCCTCT